CCCTCCCTCCCTCCCTTCCGCTGTGTACTGTCCTTGAACCTCTTTGTGCGTGCTTACCACTTGAGCTGAGCCACAGTGCTCCTTCCATCTTTTTTGAGTAGTTCATTGGAGATAAGAGTCTCATAAACTTTCCTGTCTGGGCTGGCTTAGATCCTAAGTAGCTAGGCTTACAAGTGTGAGCCACTGGTACCCACCTCTGACTTGTTTATTTTCAGCGAACTAACATTTAAAATTCTTTTTTATTAATACACTGGTTACAAACCATGATTTTCCTGATTACCACCTCCAAGTAGCTGGGATTAGAATTTTACTCTTGAGTATCTTATATTCTATCTTTTTTGCTTGATTTTGTGACCTAATTACATTTTGGTAATTTTTGTGAATGCTTTAACATCTTCTGAGATGAGGTTAGTTAAAGAACATTAACATTAATGACACAATAAAGTGAATGTAGTTCATAACTGCTTGGTTTATAGCTTGACAGGCTCTATTTGAGAAAAAAAAGATGAGAAAATAAGAGAGCTTTTTTTTTGATTGGTCATGGGACTTGAACTCTGGGCCTGCATGCTGTCCCTGAGCTCTTCAGCTCAAGATGAGCACTTTACCACTTGAGCCACAGCACTACTTCCGGTTTTCTGGTAGTTAATTGGAGATAAGAGTTTCACGGACTTTCCTGCCCAGGCTGATTTTGAGATCTGATTCTCAGATCTCAGCCTCCTAAGTAGAGAGCTCATTTTTTATAAACATTTTCTGAAGATCAGGCATGTTAGTTTTCAAACTCTCTGTGTGCATTACTTACTATATAACATTTTTCAGGCAAAGAAGTCGAAGGAGACTGAAGACTCCCCAGGTGAGCCATCTTTCCAGGACTTTGAGTACCCGGAGTATGATGACTACCGGGCCGAGGCCTTCCTGCACCAGCAGAAGAGGACGGAGTGCTACAGCAAGGCCAAGGAGGCTTACCGCATGGGGAAGAAGAATGTTGCCACCTTCTATGCCCAGCAGGTAAGCGCAGAGCCCTTTGCCCAGCTTGTCAGTAGGCCATGATCTTCAAGTCATCTGGAAGCTATGATATCTGCCCTGTGTGGTAACTAGACTGTTGTGGGAATTCCATCTCGTTTGAGTGCTTAGTTCTTGCTTCTGTTTTATGTTTAGGCTTTGCATGAATTGCTGGTTTTTCTTGCAATCCATATTTTCTTTCAAATTACATTGTCTCACTGGGCATTATATAACTTATGGGTGAGGATGGGAGGGGAAAAAAGGAGAGAACAAGTATAGGGGTGACGTTGACCAAACAGAAATGTATTCATTACCTGACTTTACTTAACTGCAACCCCTCTGTACATCACCTTTGTAATAACAATAAAAGAATAAAGAAGATATTTAGATATACATAATTACATTCTGTCATTTAGTAGCACTTATACAATTTTTCTGGAAGAAGAAAAGCAAAATACTTGTCTTAGGGTGGAATTATAGGTGTCCCATTATTTTTTGTCAGGCTTGAATTTTTAGTAATATCCTACTTTTTTTTTTTCTTTTGTGCTGGTCCTGGGGCTTGAACTCAGGCCTAGGTACTGTCGCTGGGCTTTTGTGCTCAAGGCTAGTGCTCTATTACTTGAGCCATAGCTCCACTTTTGGCATTTTGGTGGTTAATTGGAGATAAGTGTCTTACGGGCTTTCCTTCCTGGGTTGGCTTTGAGCCAAGATCCTCAGATCTCTCAGCCTTCTGTGGGCATAAGCTCCTGGTACCCAATTACTTGATTGCTTTTATAGTTGGACAAAGAAAATAAATTCATATTTTTCAGGGAAACAAAATTTCTACTTGGGCTCATTTTGTATGAGAAGGTAAGACACTTCTTTGATTTATATTTTATGTTGGTGGTTCCACATGGCTTACTTTGTTGAGCTTGATCAGAGAAATGTCTCCTATGAGTGTGACCCTTAAAGCCCTTCAGTGGCTGAGGAAGTCACTGGGAGATGCTGAAAGGGTCCACCAAGCCCAGACCTGGGAGCACCAAAAGATATACCTTTGTTCATCCAGCAGTAAGCCAGTGGCTTCTTTCTTGACAACAGGTAGTGTTCAGTGTTGTTTCCTTTTATGATTTTTGGTTCAGAAAATACTGTGGATCAGTGGTTAAGTACGTTAGGAACTACATCATTCACAAAAATTAATTTAAATGTTGGTGCATTCTTTTGCCTTATTGCATTCAGATTTTAGATGTAATGTTCTGCCTTTTGAGTTTAGGCTACTATTAGTTGATTGATTGTCTAAGAGCAAGTACGGAAGGTGTCCATGGTGCTTTGTTTATGGTTAAAGGGTAGTCTTCATGAGCAGAAGATGAGAGAAGCTAATCACCTTGCTGCTGTGGAGATCTTTGAGAAAGTCAATGCTTCTCTGCTGCCACAAAATGTGTTAGACCTACATGGGCTGCATGTGGATGAAGCTATAGAACACTTGGCAACAGTTTTACAGCGGAAAACTGAAGGTAGGATTGTGCTGGTGACATGCTTCTATCCATAGTGTTGGTATACTTGCAAAATCAGGAGGGTATGAGGCTATCTGTGCCATCTGTAGACATTTATATTAGTTGTTCTTCAAACAACCACTAACATTTTCTTCTTCACATTATGTATCTTCCTTTGCTGTAGTAAGGAGAAGGAACTGTGTAATCTGAGAATCTTCTGTGAGTTATAAATTCTACTATTTTTTTTTTTTTTGGTTGGTTGTGGGGCTTGAACTCTGGGCTTGGGTGCTATCCCTCAGCTCTTCAGCTCAAGGCGAGTGCTCTACTGCTTGAGCCACAGCGCCACTTCTGGTTTTCTAGTGGTTTATTGGAGATAAGAGTCTCATGGACTTCCCTGCCCGGGCTGGCTTTGAACCTCTATCCTCAGATCTCAGCTTCCTGAGTAGCTAGGATTACGGGCGTGAGCCACTGGTGCCCTGGCATAAATTGTACTTTTATCTCTGCTTTTTTTTTTTTTTGAGGTAGTTATATGACACAGCCAAGGTTAACCGTAAACTCCCAGTCCTCCCACCTCAGCCTCCCAACCACTGGGATTAAGGACATATAACACCATGCTCAGCCCAATGTATCTTTGCTCAATAGATGTTTAATAAAACACATAAGTAAGGTGATAGGATTTTTGAAAATTGACACAAAAAGCTAGATTTTTAAGACTCCTCAGTGTGGCTGCACACCTTCTTTCTTTTTACTTCTATCTTGTCTTTGTGGGTCAGTAGGAAGGGTCCCCATCTGTCATATATATATATATATATATATATAGTGTGTGTGTGTGTGTGTGTGTGTGTGTGTGTGTTCTGCCTCTTCTCAGGGCTTCAGATGATCTTTTAATGGCTCCATTCAGTATCATGTAGTTCACATACACAGAGGTGTGGTGTCTCATTGGGTTGGCATCTTACTTCTTTTCATCATTAGATGATAGCACTGCTTAGGGAAGTTCAATCCTTTTTCGTTACTTCAAACTCTTTAACACTAGAAGCCATCACCTTTCAGTGTTACTAAATTTTTGACTTGGCATTGTCTTCCTTTTGTATTTTATTGAGAGATGCCAGTGCCCTGCTGTTTACCTTGTGGCTGAGCTGTCACTGATAACTTCATTGATTTGATTGATTTCTGTAGGCCTTTGACAGTTTTATATTGTACTTTACAGGTTTATCAATTTAGTACATATCACTTATGATTAAGTAGGATTGATATATCAGGCTGAAAGTCATCTATTATGAGACATTTTGCCATGTTGAACAGGCTCCAGAATAATGAACATTTATGTGCCAGTAACTTCAAGTAATAAGTGATAACATTTTATTATATATGTTTCTTGTTGTAACTCTTCCTTTTGTATTTCTCCCCAATCCTTTTCCCCTTCTTTTCCTTTCTTTTTTTCTTAGCATACATGAGTCATACATGGAGATTTGTTGTAATAATTCTATAGATGCTTATAGTATACTTGGAACAGATTCATCCTCCCTGTTATATTCTTAGTTCCCCTTTTTCCTCCCCTCCTTTTTCCGATAGTAGTTGGTGGGTTTCATTATGCTATCTTCATAACTAGAATGTAACTGCTTTGATCCTCTTCACTTAGCCAGCGCCCTCTCTTTTCCTCCTCCGCCTTTTAAACTCATATCACATTATTGAAATTAAATTATCATCTTTTAGGTCTAGAGTCCACATATGAGTAAAAACATAATATTTGACTTTTTGAGCTTGGCTTATGTTACTTAACAATAATGATCTCCAGTTCCATATGTTTTCTTGAAAACAATATAATTCTATTTTCTTCTTCTTCCTTTCTTTTCTTTTGGGTCCGGTCATGGGGCCTGAACTCTGGGTCTGGGCGCTGTCCCTCAGCTCTTCAGCTCAAGGCTAGCACTCTACCACTTGAGCCACAGCGCCACTTCCGGTTTTTTCTTTTTTGCTTATGTGGTACTGAGGAATCGAACCCAGGGCCTCAGGCATGCAAGGCAAGCGCTCTACCACTGAGCCACCTTCCCAGCCCTTCTTTCTTTTTCTTTATACTGGTAGTGGGGCTTGAACTCAGGACTTCGTGCTCTTGTGTGGCTTTTTATTTCAAGACTGGCACTCTTTAACTTGAGCCGTACCTTCATTGTTAGCATTTTTGCTGATTAATTGGAGACAACAGTCTCAGAGTCATTTCTTCCTGAGCTAGCTTGATACTTAGATCTCAGCCTTCTGAATAGCTAGGATTACATGTGTGAGCCACCAGCACCAAGCTTAGAATTTCTTTTTGACATGAGGGTACATTATGGATTTAGTATTATTGGTTGAATAACATTGTAACTGTGCTAAAACCCACTTAACTGTACATTAAAAAAAGTTGAGCATTATTCTGTGGGATTTTTATTTCAACAAAACCTTTAGGGATGCTGGGTGCCGGGGCTCACATCTGTAATCCTAGCTATTCAGGAAGCTGAGATCTGAGGATCATGGTTCAAAGCCAGCTTGGGCAGGAAAGTCTGTGAGACTCTTATCTCCAATAAACAACTAGAAGACTGGAAGCGGCACTATGGCTCAAGTGGTAGAGCGCTATCCTTGAGCTGAAGAGAGCAGGGACAGCACCTAAGCCCAGAGTTCAAGCCTCACAACTGACAAAAAACAAAAAAACAAAAAACCTTTAGGGAATTAAATAACGTGCCTAAGATAACACTCAGATCCAAGGTGCAAATGTTTTCTGGAAGCCAAGGCCCATCTTGTATGTGCTGCCCCCCATGGTAGCCATGGTAGCCTGTAATTATTACCAGTCACCACCAGGTGGTAGTATTGTTGAATATGAATATTTTTAGGGGAAAGGCTGTGGCTCTGCACTGAAGATTTTAGTCATAATATAAAGCAATCATCAAAACTGGGAATGAGTAGAAGACTAGATATAACTGGCCTTTATGTTCCTTTTAATGGAAATACACTACTACCTTTGAAGTACTTTTGCTCCCAAGTGTAGCAGAAGACCAAGCCTTTAGGCCTGACTGTTCACAGGGGACAGAAGAACATGTTAAGCAACACCAGAGAGAAATAACTGACAAAAGCCAGACTGAATTCTAAGATAAATCATCTTGCTTTTTCTAATAAATTATAAAGAAAAATTCAGATTTTCTTTTCCAGAGAGAAAGCTTTTTAAATTGAACTTTTTTTTTTTTTTGGTCCGGTCATGGGGCTTGAACTCTGGGCCTGGGTGCTGTCCCTGAGCTCTTCAGCTCAAGGCTAGCGCTCGACCACTTGAGCCACAGCACCACTTCTGGCCTTTTTCTTTTTGCTTATGTGGTGCTGAGGAATTGAACCCAGGGCCTCAGGCATGCAAGGCAAGCGCTCTACCACTGAGCCACCTTCCCAGCCCCTTAAATTGAACTTTTAAATTAAAAACTTTTAAATTTATCTGAGAAATCCATCGTTCAATGCAATGATTTTTTTAACCTTGATTCAAACAAAGTACCATGTAAACCTTTTCTTTTTGTTAGATAATCGGGGACATTTTTAGAAACTAATAATATTAAGGATCTAGTGTTAGTTTTGTAAAGTGGTATGATACTGTGGTTTTTAAGGAGCTCTTTTTGAGATAGACACTAAAACATTTGTAGTTGAAATAGTAAGGAATCTGGAATGTGCTTAAATAGTTCTTTCAGTGATGATAAACAGCCTGTAATAACAAGCATACACACAAATCTATTCAACAAAGAACTGATGAATATTCTCAGAACAGCTAGTAGGTGAGGTGAAGTAAATGGTGTGCTAGTCTGGGGGGGTGGGAAGAGGACACAATGAAGGACTGATGGCAGTGAATGGCAGTAGACTTGAGTCATAGATTTAAGGGTTTGTGTGTTTGGTTTGAGACAGGGTCTTGTTACATAGCCCAGGCTGGCCTTGAATTTGGTGTTTTTTATTGTTGTTTTCTTAAGCTCACACCTGTCATTTTAGCTATTCAGGAACCTGAGTTCCAGAGGTTCATGGTTCAAAGCCAGCCTAGGCAGGAAAGTTCTATAGACTCCAACTCCAAAATTAGTAGCAAATAAAGCAAAGCTAGAGGCACAGCTTACTAACTGGAACTCCAGTTGAGCAAGTATGAGGCTCTGAGTTCAAACCTAATATCAAACAACAGTAACAAAAACTTGAATTAGAGCAGCTGTTATTTTTTATTATCAGGGTTTTTTTTTTCTCCTCCTCCTCTTCCTTCTTCTTCCTCTCCCTCCTTCCCTCCCTCCCTCCTTCTTTCTCTCTTTCTTTCGCTTGAGCTCAGGGCCTGGGCACTGTCCCTGAGCTTCTTTTGCGTAAGGCTAGCACTCTACCACTTGAGCCCTAGCACCACTTCCAGTTTTTTCTGTTTCTGTGGTACTGAGGAATTGAACCCAGGGCTCCATGTATGCTAGGCAAGCACTCTACCACTGAGCCACATTCCCAGCCCTATTACTGCTCTTCTTAACTTTCAGATGTATGTACTTGCTTTCCCAAGGTCATATCCAAAGCAGGAGCTACAGTCTTTCAAGAGACTTCGGCTAAGAAATTTGTCCATAGTTACACAGCCATTGAGAGTGGCAGAGCTGTGGTTCAAACTAAAGCTAGCTAGCTTTTGAATATTTAATTAACAGGGGTATTATGAAGATTTATAGTTAACAAATACAAGTCATTTGAAGCAGTGACAGTGTGTGTAGTAATTGTTAGGTATGAATAGGATTGTTAATGTAATTGTCATTTTGTAGAAAATGTCTTACGGTGCATGGAATCTTCTTTCTCACAAGAGAAGAAGGCCCCCTTCAATTGGTTTGTTGGTTTGTTCAGAAGGGGTCTTACTATTAAATGTCTGCCTCAAATTTCCAATACTTGTACCTTAGACCTCCCCTAGTCCTGGGATTACAGTGTGAGCCGCCACATAGCCTACTTCTATCTAACTTTAGAGGGATAGATTGCTACAAGGCCTTTTTTTTTTTTTTTTTTGGTAGCACTAGGTTTTGAACTCAGGTCCTTGTGCATGCTAGGCAGACACTCTGGCACTGACGTCACATTTCAGTACTTTTTACTTTTAGTTCATTTTCCAGGAGATGATCTTGTGCTTTTTGCCCTGGGCCAGTCTCCACTGAGATCCTCCTACCTCTCCCTCCTGCATAGCTGGGATTACAGGAATACACACCATACCTGGCCCACTATGTAGCCACTGTGTAGTCAGTAATAATAAAAAATAGGTAACTGATCTCTAAATCACCATGGAAACTATTTAATGTGCATGTGAGTAATTAAGGTGTTTTTAGAATTATTATTATCTTTATGTAGTTGTGCAAAGAGTTTTAAATCCAACAATTCCTTTTATAAGTACAAAGCATTTAAGGTGTGTTTTCTGTTGAGAATGTAAGCTATGACTTTAGTTGTTCCAATTCCTGTTGTGACAGAATTTAAGCAGAACGGTGGTAAGCCCTACCTTTCTGTGATCACGGGGAGAGGAAACCACAGCCAGGGAGGAGTTGCTCGAATCAAACCAGCCGTCATTAAATACCTCACAAGCCATAGCTTTAGGTAAGTATGTTTCTGGTGTCTAATGACAATTGCCATTTGTTACAACTAAGTAACTGCTAACAGTATGTTTAAAATGATTTGTTAAGATAGCTAAATTGAACCATCTGATTTCAGTCACAGATTAATGCTTAAAATATAACTTGTTCTGCTAGAGAAATGAAGGACAATGTATATCATCACCTAATAAAACTGTCATAACTTTAAAATTCTAAGAAAATTAAATGTAACTATGCAAGTATGTTATATATACTATAGTTTAAGATTTGCTAATTTTGAAAGAAAAAAATGTATTTGTGGGGTTTTGATGGAATTAGGACTTCTGCTTAAATGCAGATATATTCTAGATTATTATTTAACCTTCAGTTCTCCAGTTAGAGTCTTATGTGTCTTTAGAAGTTAAATGCCATTAGCAATTTTTGCTGACAGACATACAATGTCCTTTTCCATTGTGATCATTATTTAATAATAGAAAGTGACAAGACAATTCTGGGGTGAAAGATTCATTGGATAGATTCCCTGAAGATATGGGTGCTTAAGCCCTTCAAGTTTCAATTAGTGTAACTTGTTGAGTTTATGCCATGTAAGGAAATGTTTCTTGCTTATATTATAGAAAACAACATTAATTCTGAACATAAAAGCAAGATCCATTTCAGCATTAGTTTTTCAAAAGGAATGCATAAAAACTTTATTATGATGAGATTAGTGATCTGTTTTAGTGACTAATGTTCCTTAAATTTTCAAACTGAGGGATTTGCAGGCTTTGCGTGGCCACATGAATTTGATTTATCACTGTATCAGAGGTATCTTCCTTGTGTTTTCTTGATGCCTAAGAAACACTGTAATGCTGTCAGCATCTTATCTGCACAGTATGCTCTTTCTAGGTCAAATTTAGGGTTGAGAAATTTTTTAAAATTATAACTTGTGTTGATTAATGATTTAGGAGTAACACTGAGATTAAAAGGAACATAAACAGATATTGGTCTTGGATGTTAACAAAGGAATGTTGATAGTAAATGTTATTTTAAATGCAGACAATTTGAATAGATTATATGATCTATTTCTTATATAGTTTGGAAACTTTATCTTTAAAATAACTCTTCTCTCATTTCTGCAGGTTCTCTGAAATAAAACCAGGGTGCTTGAAAGTCATGCTAAAGTAAAAAAAAAAAAGTTCTTGACTTCTAAGTATGAAGGTTTGTAGGTTAAAAGTAGTTTTATTTGCAGTAATACAGTCAATTCTGCTCTAAACTTGTGTCTTACTAAGGATTATGTCCAGTTATAAAACAGACATGGTTTTCAAAATTCAAGAGAAATTAATTTTTTTACTGAATCAGTTGCCCAATGTTACTTGCTAAGTCATTAAATAAAGAGAATTTTTGTTGATTACCAAATGCCTAAGAAAAGTATCAGCTACAGTTTTAAAGTATGAAGTACACTATTTCTTATTCATAGAGAAAATACTAAATTTGTATTAATGGTTCCACATTTAATAATGGTAAAGGTTTCTGTGAGAGATAACATGATTGAGATATTTTAGGGCAGTGTGCCTAGTTCACACCTTCCAAGGCTTGCTGTAAAAGAAGCAGTGGTAGTAAGGAAAGAAAGAGATTTAACAAAAACACTTGAATACTTTTTAAACTTTCAAGGCCAAATGTATAATATTATTTACTTTGCCATATTTTGGAGCAAGGAAGACATTCTATGCACTTCCTACTGCTTTGTGTGTGATTGTGGTCTCTTAGCTCTGTTCTGGTCTCTGTGTATATTTTCTTGTGAGGAAAGTTGGGTCTGAGATTATCTTGCAGTCTTATTTCTTTCATAGGTAGAATTGTTTTCAGAAAAGGAGAAATGCCTCGTTCTCTACCACATGTTGGTTCCTGAGTAGAGCTGCTTCTAAAAAATTGTCTTATAAGTGGTATATCAGACAGTGCTGGATTTTACATTAAAACACATAATTTCTAAGCTGCATTAAGTTAAAATCCTATTAAAACAAATACCAGAAAACATTTTTGGTATAATTATAAAACGAATCCTTGTCATTGAAAAAGAGCCAACTTTCTGAAAGAAAAGGTTCATTAACTTCTGTTGTTTGGTTAGCATGTGAATGATAATTACCTTTACAAGAATTTAATGGAATTAGGTATAATTTTCTCAGAATGGTCAAATTTTGCTTCGAATATATAGAGTATTTTCACCATACATTTTAACAAGTAATTGTGGGGATTTTTTAGTATAAAAGTTATTTGGATCAGGAATGATAGGATGGAATATTATTGAAAGAATCTTGAAGTACTGGCTAGTTTCCCAAGAGTCAACATTTTAATGATAATAAACTCAAAACAGGTTTTTATATGGATGCATGCTTTTAAAATAAAGCCTTATTAGTGAATTTTATTTCCACAAAATAACATGTTTATTATTTAGAAATGATTAGTGACTGTTACTGTTCACATTATGTTTGTTATATGTTTTTAAAATACCAGTATAAACACTTTGTGATGCTTAGAAGTGTTGTATACATTAAAAATAAAGCCTTTTTTCAATAACTTACAACAAAGTTATAAAGTTGTCAATGATATAAAAATATTCCTTTGTATAGATTAATATGAATTAAGATTTGAGAAACAACACTAAGCCCCATCATTCAGTATTGCAGAGCATGAAGATGCATGCTCATTCCCAGCCCTCATTTTCTGTTCTATATTTTCTCATCTGGTTTTAAAAAAAATCACCTTCAGCTATTTTTATTTCTTTTTTCTTTTTCTTTTTCTTTTTTTTTTTGTGTCAGTCCTGGGACTTGAACTCAGGGTCTGAGCACTGTCCCTAAGTTGTTTGCAAAAGACTAGGATCCTACCACTTGAACTACAGATCCACTTCCAGCCTTTTTGGTGTTTAGAGATAAGAGACTCATGGACTTTGCTGTGTAGACTGACTTCTAACCTCAGTCCTCAGGTCTCAGCCTCCTGAGTAGCTAGGATTACAGGCATGAGCCATTGATGCCTGGCTTATTTCATTAATTATGATTAACATGGAAACAGTCAAAAGAAGTAGTATGGTATTCTGTGATCAAATCAAATGTAAGAAGGTCAATTTTTTTTTTTTTTGGTTGCTCATTGGGCCTGAACTCTGGGCCTGGGCACTGTCCCTCAGCTCTCCAGCTCAAGGCTAGCACTCTACCACTTGAGCCACAGCACCACTCCTGGCTTTTTCTGCTTATGTGGTTCTGAGGAATGGAACCCAGGGCCTCATCCTTGCCAGGCAAGCGCTCTACCACAGAGCCACCTTCCCAGTCCAAGAAGGTCAATTTTTATACTGTTTCAACAAAAAGCTTTTGTTTTTGTTTTTTAATGATAGGTTCTCACTTTAGTATAGGCCAGGCTGACCTTGAACTACACCTTGTACCTCATCCTCCTGAGTACTGAATTACAGGCCACCACACTTGACTTAATATTTCTTAATTATTACTCAAAAATATATAAGTGAAATTTAAACATATATATATATATATATATATATATATATATATATTATGATGTTCTTTAAACTATCTCCTGTCCTATCTAGTGTGTTTAAGCAACATATTGAGAAAGGAAAATTCATAATCCTTTCCTCCACTTGTCTGTTTCTAAATCCTTTATGCCAGAGGTTAAGATAGCATAGGGATTATCAAAACTTTGTTTTGTTGATTTCTAAACCTTGCATGTCAAAGGTAAAAGATAATATAGAGACTGTCAGAGTTTTCATGTATTGGCCTGCTTATTCGAATACATGACTCTTCAGAAGTAGTCTTTGTAAACTTGATTAGTGTTTTAAAATATATTAAAAATGCAGCGGTCTTTGTAGTTGAGAGTATTTTAGCAGTCTGTTACCAGAGTTGCCAAAGGGAAAGAGAGAATGAGTGTGGGAAGCAGCAGGCTGTGTGGTGGCCATGCACTCTCAGTGTGTTTCCAATCAGCCCACCTCCTGTGCCTGAGCAAAATGGAAGCCAGCCCTCTGACATGTATCAGCTGTTCACAGATCTCTGTGTTATTGTCCTGTTGAGGTTTCTTCTGTTTATTAGTATTTCTATACTGTTTGCAATTCCATGGCCTTTAAACATAGTACACATAATAGAAATTGTCACTCTAACATCTAACATGTTTAGTGTGTTATAACATTTTATCAGAAAATCTCACAATTCTTTTGTTTAGTCATTTTCTTTTTAAAAAGTTCAAGTGTTTTGTATGTTTAGAAGGAAGACACATGTAATGACAAAATTAGTTATTTCTGAGCTGGAAATTGGAAACTTTTGAAACTCAGGAAATTGCTCTGACAATGTTTTAACTGCTCTCAATTAAGAAAATGTATACAAACAAAAATAATCATGTATGCTGTTTTTTTCCAAGTGCTTTTTCTAAGTGCTTTTCCATTGCGCAATGAAGTGAAGTTTGATAATGTTTCCGTCTAGTGGTTAAATATTGCTTATTTTTATTTACATGTAAAGAAACCAGATTTAAATGTTTGTGTGGCCCAAATCAGTGTCATTTAAAAGTAAAGTAAGTTTCTGTAGAATATTTGTTAATGGTGCTTCTTTTTAAAATGTAATTGAAGTTTACAGTATTACTTAATGCCTCTTTACAGAATTGAATAGTCAAGGCTAGAACAAACCTACGTCTAGAAGAGCCATTTAGAACTTCATGTTGTCCCTCAACAAAGTTTATTATGTTCCTTAAAGTTCAGTAATTGACTTTTATGATCCAAATGATGAACCTGTTGTTAATAAACTATAGAATTAACCATGAGACTTTTCATTCAAGTACAACATTGCAGCTGTTAGTTGGAGAATATATTGTAACATTTTCACAGTGTATCAGAAACAAAATGTTTTATTTGTACTATAAAGAAATTGTAATTTTGCTGTTAACTCTGTACTTTTTTATTGAAACAGTTTATAAGTTTGCTTTCCACTTTTCTTATGAGACCATTTGCAAATTGCATACTTAATTTAATAAACTACTTTAGCCACAGCCCAGTGTGAGGAAGTCCTTCGTTTGATGTAAGTTTCATGGCTTAAATATTAAATAATATTTTTTGCTTATGACCTTGTAATTTCAGGGGGAAGAGGCCATAAAAGTTTTATGTCTGTACCACGACTTTTATTCTACTCTATTTGTATTTTTTCCTTTTACTTTGATTTTATGAGACAGGATTTTACTATGTAGTCTAGGCAAGACTTGAAGTAGATATCCTACTGCCTCAGCCCCCTGAGTGCTAGGTTAGAAGTTGCCCTTCCACACCTGGCTAGTTGACTTGCTGTAGCAGATAGTGGTCCTATTTAGAACCAGAGCAGTGGATTAGTTAAGGTTCCTCTCTTCACATCCCTCTTATCTTTTGACTAACATCAAAATAAAGAGTTGTGTTTATTAGGGACACAAGCAGCGTGTTAAGTGACATTAAGGACCTTCAATGTAATTCAGCTCAAAAAAGCTTTATTCACTCAATTACCAAGGACTGAAATATTTATTCAACAAATATTTATTGAATACCTATTACCCAGGATTCATTATGAGACAATTTTTATCCATAAGTAACTTATAAGTAGTCTCACTATTATTTGTGTAACAATTTATACTCTGAAACACTTTCACATGTGTTAAAATCTAAATCTCAAGAGAATCCTATTTCACAGATGATGCTGTCCCTATTTAAAATGGATTAAGAAAACCTTGGGTTAATTGGTTTTTGAGTAAGTGGCAGAGCTATAGTTCCAACCTAGGTTCTCTGACTCCTACTACAGAGAAACTGCCTCTTTTGTTTTTATTTTTGTTTTTGTCAGTCATGGGGCTTGAACTCTGGGCCTCAGTGCTGTCCCTGAGCTCTTCAGCTCAAGGCAAGCACTCTACCACTTGAGCCACAGTGCCACTTCTGGTTTGCAGGTGTTTAATTGGAGATAAGAGTTTCACAGACATTCCTGCCCAGGCTGGCTTTGAACTGTGAACCTTAGATCTCAACCTCCTTAGTAGCTAGGATTACAGGCATTAGCCACCGGCACCCGCTGAAACCACTTCTTTTGTGAGAGGGAGAATACTTCCTTAAGGAATGTTAGCCCTTCCTGAGAGATGTGGCTGCATAATAATATGTCTGTGAAAATCTGCCATTTATGAAACTGACTGCTTCCTTTATCCAAAGATAAAACCCAAATACCAATGACAGAAGAGAAAGGTTTATTTCTCTTTTAACATTAATTAAATCTCAGAAATTAAGAGTCAAGGACTGGTATGCTCTTTTCTATAAAGTTTTTGAAGATCTGGGTCTGTTTTAGCTTAATACTGGGCTGTACCCAAGGTGTGAGCCTCATTTTTGTAGGCCTGGGTAGGTGGCTAAAGATTTATCACATCTATATTCTATGGGAGGAAGGTCAAAGAAAGGAGGAGCAAAGAGCTTAGTGTCAGCAGTCTTCAGCTGTCATAAGACACTTCTGTTTACAGCCTATTGGCCAGAATTTAGTCATATGATTACACCTAGCTGCAAGGGAGGCAGAGATGGTTTCAGACTGTGTTCTGCTCAGCTAAGTTTTGGGTGTTCTTTTGGAAGGAAGAGAATGGGTATTAGCCCCGCCATGTCATTTTTTTATTGTGCTATTAAAATAATGTGAAAATCTTGGCGAATTCCTTCCATAGCTGTTTGTGACATCCATATAGTGTCACTCGTAGAAAGGAAAACACAGTTGTATGGGTTTCAACTGAGTATTTACATAATCTGAGTACCCAACATGGCTGAGGAAATGTACTTTCAGTTGATGGCTTCACTGCTAATTGTCTGTGCTCACAGTTAATTGTCGATGTTGATCTGATAATTTAGTTGTGGCAACTAGATTAGGCTTGTAAGTTATTTCTTCTTAGTGTATTTGCATACTCACTTAGGTTTTTGCTTTTATTCACATTCCTGTGAAAAAGCTAGCACTTAGTGCCGATGATTTTTTTTTTTTTGGGTCTAGTCATGGGGCCTGAACTCTGGGCCTGGGCGCTGTCCCTCAGCTCTTCAGCTCAAGGCTAGCGCTCTACCACTTGAGCCACAGCACCACTTCCGGCTTTTTTCTTTTTGCTTATGTGGTGCTGAGGAATCGAACCCAGGGCCTCAGGCATGCAAGGCAAGCGCTCTACCACTGAGCCACCTTCCCAGCCCCGGTGCCTATGATTTAAGGCAAGTAAAACCTTAACCATGGAAACACTAAGGTGGGCAGAGATTAATTGATGTAGAGGTGGTGAGGCTGGATGTTGCTCTCCTGTTTGAAATACTAGAAATGTGTGTGTGTGTGTGTGTGTGTGTGTGTGTGTGTGTGTGTGTGTGTGTGTGTGCGCATGCGCATGTGTGTGTGCGCGCGCGCGCGTGTGTGTGTGTGTGCATATGCATGTGTGCATGTGCTTGTCCTGGCACTGGGGCTTGAACTCAGGGCCTGGGCACTGTCCCTGATCTTTTGTACTCGAGGCGAATGCTCCCACTTGAGCCACAACTCCCATTTCTGGCTTTTTTGGTGGGTAGTTGGAGAAAGGAATCTCACAGACTTTTCTGCTTGGGTTGGCTTTGAGCTGTGATTCTGAGATCTCAGCTTCCTCAGTAGCGGGATTACAGACATGAGTTCCCAATGCCCGACAAAATGTCTTTCCCTGTGAACTTCATACACATACTTCATGTCTTTTATAGGTTCTGGGCACTCCTCATAGTGGTCTCAACTTCTTGAA